GGGAACACAAGCGGCGGGAGGGGGAGAGGGAGAAGCAGGCTTCCCGCGGAGCAGGGAGCCCCATGCGGGGCTCGATCCCAGGACCCTGGGATCATGACCTGAGCCGAAGGCGGACGCTTAACGACTGAGCCACCCAGGCGCCCCTGAGGCTCAGTTTTCTTATCTGTAAATTGAAATAGAGACCGACTTTAAGCCTCTCCCAGGGGAAGAGTGGACATGGGTCGGCAATAAACCCCCAAGCAGACACATCCATAAACTCATGGATGTGTGCTAGGAAGGGTGGAGATAGAGAAAGGAGGGGACGGGTAAACGTCTGAAGTCAGAGAAGGCCGGCTGAAGAGGATGGGTAACCAATGCAGCAGGAATCCAGCAAAAGCCCCAAATGCAAAGATTTAGGGAGAAGAGTGTGCCAGGGAATGGGAACAGCAAGTGCCAAAGCCAAAGGGCTGGACGGAGGAAAAAAAAGAATCCAGTGTTTTCTGGCTGAGGCTTGGTAAGGCATGAAGTGTTAGGACTTTGTGAGCTGCAGAGTTGGGGTAAGACCTGTTTCCTAGGGGCATAGGGAGGAGTCCATAAAACATTGTAAAGAGCCCCTGATAAGCACTCAGAAGGTTGTAGCTGCTTGAAAAGTGGCCATAATAATTGCTTTTGTACTACATGCCAGCACATCGCCAGAGGCTTTCAGTACCTTCGTTTTATTACACCAGTTATGTCACTTAATTTACCACCTGCAGCCCTGCTGGTTAGGTGACACTGTGCCTACTGAACAGGCCCATCATCACACCCCTGAAGACAGGAGTCAGCTTCAGATCGTGGGCACCCAGCGTGTTGTATCACACTCCCAACTGGACAGGCTAGCGCTGGTGGGAAGTGTCAGTTTGCAGTTCCTCTGGGTCACACACCAGATGTATGAGCTCAAAGAGTGGCTTGCTTTCTATAGGTCTCAGTTTCCCCACCTTGGAATGATGGGGAAATTACATGAGATAATCTATTGGGGGGGGGTGCCTGGCACAGAGGCAGAGCCCAGCAAACAGGAGATGTTGTTGTTAGTGTCTTTATCCTCCTCCCTTCCTAGAGGAGGTCCCCCCTACCTGGCCCTCCATCCCTAGACGTGGAGGACTCGATCCTTGGCCCGTGGGGAAAGTGGCGCTGTTTCTGCGACCTGGGCAAGCAGGAGCGCAGCCGCGAGGTCCTGGGCACAGCGCCGGGCCCGGTGTTCATGGACCGCGAGAATCTGGTGCAGGTGCGGCCCTGCAGGCAACAGGATTGTTCATCCTGCAAACCAACCGATTGCGACTGGAGGCCCTGAACCCGGGTGAGAGACAAATGCAGAGGAGGCGGGCCTAGGGCGGGCTGTCAAGTCGGGTGTTGAGAGTCCCCAGGGTGGGCGGGGAGAGGGGAAGGGCCGCGGGTGGGGGCGGGTGCGAGGAGGGCCTTTAGGGCTGAGGCTAGAAGATGGTGGAGAGGGGAGAGCTGAGTCAGGAGCCGTGAGCCCCCTCTGACATCCGGGGAGAAAGGACGAAAGATGGTGAGGGGCAGGGAGGGGGAATCAGAGATGGAGGAACTGTGACCTTGAAGAAAGGGTATGAGCCTGATGCGGGTCAGACACCTACAGGCTGAGGACGTGAGCCCGCTGAGACTCGAGAATTGAGGGACATGAACCCTGAACTGGGGGGAATGGCCCCGCCTGGTGGGCGCAGGCTCTTAGCAGAAGTCTGTTGAGATCTGGGATCACAGGTGGGAGGGGGTGGGTGGGGGAGGCTTAGCCCCAGTTAGAGGTTAGGAAGCAGAGTGGGGGGGAGAGGCGAGGTCCCGGGTGAGGTACCGAGAGGGAGAGAGAGAGAGTTCGACCCCAAATCTGAAGGCCTGAGCTCAGTGGAAGTAGGAGTACCTAGTCCAGAGGGCTTAGATTGTGTGGAGTGGCAGGGACAGGGAGTACAAATAGCCAGCATCCAGATGGACAGGGACCCAGTGATGTGGACACTGGCAGTATTCTGGCAATATAGTGGTATTTTTTTTTTTTAAGATTTTTATTTATTTATTTGAGAGAGAGAGAGAGTGAGAGAGAGAGAGCCCAAGAGGGGGTAGGGTCAGAGGGAGAAGCAGACTCCCTGCTGAGCAGGGAGCCCGATGTGGGACTCGATCCCGGGAGTCCGGGATCATGACCTGAGCCGAAAGCAGTCGCTCAACCAACTGAGCCCCAGGCACCCAATATAGTGGTATTTGACCTTCAAGGTCCCGACTGGGCCAAGTTCTCCAAGGCCTGCGTCAGTTTCCCGTTTATTTCCCTATCCTCCTACCAGCCCTGACGGGCGGGGCGTCAGGGACGCCGGGGCGGAGCTTGGAAAGCGACTCCGCCCACCCCGTGTCCCCAAGGAAGAGCTCGGCGGTCGGCCTTGGGAACTACAATTCCCAGGAAGCCGTACGGCAGGAGCTTCGGTGGCGCCTGCGCAAACGTCAACGGCGGCAGGAGCGTCGGGGGAGTGTCCTGGGCACCGATTGGTCGGAAGTGAGAGCCGTTTCGGGGCCCGCGGAAAACGCGCGCCTGGACCTGAGCCTGCAGACCTCGTTCTTGCTGCTGGTGGCGGCTGCAGAGGCGGCATGGATCTTGGCGAGCTGGACGGAGACAGTACGGGCCGCTGTCGCCTGAACTCGCCTGTGCCCGCGGTGTGCCGCAAGGAGCCCTGCGTCCTGGGCGTCGATGAAGCGGGCCGGGGCCCGGTGCTGGGTGCGCCTCCGGGACTGGGCTGGGGGAGGGGCGTGATAAGGGGAACGCAGGTTGCACTGGAACGGGAGCTGGGATTGTACCCTACCCGGGGAGGGGGGGGGCGGGTCATAGTGGCGATGACACCGAAGAAAGCGGTGATGATGGGATAGGGATAGCGGTTTTCACTGGCTCACTGGTTGGACCCCCGCTTCTCCAGGCCCCATGGTCTACGCCATCTGTTATTGCCCCCTCTCACGCCTGGCACATCTGGAGGCCCTGAAAGTGGCAGGTGAGCTGGAGTTGTGAGTCTCGTGAGGGGGTTCCTGGGCGTGTGCGGGGGGGGGTGCAAACTGAAGGGGGAGAACAGGAGCTGGGAGAACTAGTCGCTCCCCTTCTTTCCCAACCCTCCTCCCAGACTCAAAGACCCTATCGGAGAGCGAGCGGGACAGGCTCTTTGTGAAAATGGAGGAGGACAGGGACTTTGTGGGCTGGGCATTGGACGTGCTGTCTCCAAACCTCATCTCTACCAGCATGCTTGGGCGGTGAGGGGCCTCCCGGAGGGGCCAGGGTGGAGGGGCAGCCAGCATGGGCTGGAAGGGATCCGTATCTGGATCGGGGTTGACTGGGTTGTCTCCCACTGCAGGGTCAAGTACAACCTGAATTCCCTATCCCATGATACAGCCACTGGGCTGGTGCAGTATGCCTTGGATCAGGGTGTGAAAGTTGCCCAGGTGAGCTGACTGTTGGGTTGCGCACGTTTGATCACCTCAGGATAAAATGGAGGTATACAAGTGCAGTGGGTGATTCAAGGTCAGACATACCTGGGTTACCTCAGGAGTATATGTTGCTGCCTTTGACATTTTACTACTTTTTCTACCCTAAATGTGTGCCCCACCCTGGACCAAGGAGGAGCCCCCAGCTCCACTCTCATTTAATTTATCTCTGTATTCTAAAGGCTCAGAGTCCAGAACAAATCCCCATCTGTCCACCTGCCCAAAGCCTCTGTGCTAGCCCAGGGCACCCTCCTCTCCTGGATTCCTGCCCCATCCTCCCCCCACTTGGAGGTCTGTTCTTTACAGTCTGCTCCTCATGCAGCAGATAGTCATCTTCTTTTTTTTTTTTTTTTAAAGATTTTATTTATTTATTTGACAGAGAGAGACAACGAGAGAGGGAACACAAGCAGAGGGAGAGGGAGAAGCAGGCTT